ATTTGAGAATCAACAAGACTTAGAGACTAATTAGCAAAAGTGAAGGAAAGAGAGAAGATGAACCCCAGGCTTGTGCAGAAGATGCGATGGTTGTGCCATACTGTGAGCTGAAAAGGTGAGAAGAAGATCAGCTTTAGAAATGATAAGCTATGGAATATTCCAGTGGAGCTATGCAGCAAACAGCTGGGCATCAACGTCTGGAGCCTGGGAGAAAAGTCTGGCTGGAAACACCAATCTGATGGCTCCTAGGCAATGAGTGGTGTTTGAAGTCATGGAGATTGATGAGACTGACCAGATGGAATAGAGTGAGGAACAAAGAAAACCAGTGTGACCTTGAGGGAAACCAACTTTTAAGGGATGGCTAGGTGACTTCCGGTAAGATGGAGGACTAGGCAGACAAGCGACAGACCCTCTTCAACAAAAAAAAGAAAAACCAATTGACCAATTGACAGAGATATAGAAGATAAGCCTGGGGCCCTGAGCTTTGAAAGGAACTATGCAGAAGTGGATTAGGCACTGACTAGTAGAAAAACCTGAACGAAAACAGTGAGTACAGAGACAGTCAGAGCTGTGGACTGTCAGCTACTCTGATGGGCCAACAGCCTGAATATTTCCAAGTGTGTTGGGAACTGAGAATTTGACCTAAACATCAGCCCTAGTCACCAAGGGCTGCAGAGACAACTGCTCTGGTGGCCTATGACTAGGAAGGGAAACAGCAAGGAGGGAGATAACATGAGCTGTTGACTTTCTGCTGTCCGGAGGGTGCAAGCATTTTGACTGTTTACACGTGACAGCCATTTTGGATATTTAAAGTGACTGAGGGTGCAGCCATTTTGAATGTTTGTAAGTGGCAGCCATTTTAGATATTTAAAGTAACTGAGGGTGCAGCCATTTTGAATCTTTACAAGTGGCAACCTTTATGGATTTTAAAGTGATAGCATTCTCTTTGGGATTCCAGGGACCTAAGAATAGGCTCCATTTGACAGGGTTGGCAGGGACATATGAGAGGCTGACAACAGGAAAGGAGACAGGTGGTGAGTGTATAAGTGCTGTCAACTAGCAAATAGAGGAGCACAGAACCCTGCTTGCATAGATAACATACAAACAAAACAAATAAAATGAAAATCATGGCTAAGTCACTCCAACATACAATCACCAATTAAATATAAACACAAAAACATTACAATGCCTCGGAGACAACAGAGAATCACAGTCCACACAAAGAACCAAGATAAAGCAGGAGAAACAATGGACCAGAATACAGACCCAGAATATATCCCTGAGGAAGATGCAGCATTGGTACTCCCTGATTAGGAATTCAAAAGAATTATATTTAGGTATCTTCCACTAATTGAGAGACGGATCAAGGAAAAGACAGAGAAAACCCTAGAAACATTTAGAAAGAAAATACAAGAACAAAATGACAAAATAAATGAAAAATTAGAAATGACATAAAATCTACACACAGAAATCCAGAAGATTAATAATGAATTTTTAAAAATAGATAAGGCATTGAATGGACAAAGGAGCAGAACTGAATCGATAGAAGACAGAATTAGGGAGATTGAATGCAAATACCTGAACACTTCTTTGGAAAGGGATAAATCAGAAAAAAGATCAAAACAAAATGAAGAAACCCTAAGGTTCATGTAGGATACCATCAAAATGAATAACCTATGTGTAATTAGCATTCCAGAACAGGAAGAGACAAATAAAACCACAGAGAAAATTGTCAAAGATTTGTTGGAAGAGAATTTTCCCGGTACGATGAAAGATGAGAATATATCCATTCAGTAAGTCCAACGAACCCCAAACAGGATAGACCCCAAAAGGAAATCACCTAGACATATCATCATCAAACTTACCAAAACCAAAAATAAAGAATCATGAGAACAGCATGGGAAAAATGAAAAGTTACCTACAATGGGCAACCAATAAGACTAAGCTCAGATTTCTTGGCAGAAACCATGCAGGTGAGAAGACAATGGGATGGTATATATAAAACACTGAAAAAGAAAAATTTCCAACCAATAATTATTTACCCAGTAAAACTGTCCCTTAAATATGGTAGTGAAATTAGGACATTTTCAGATAAACAGAAATTAAGGGAATTTGTTAAAACCAGACCACCCTTACAAGAGATGTTAAAGGGTACCCTTTGATAGAGAAGCAACAACAGCCAACAACTGACCATTAACACCCATGATGATATAACCCAGAAACCAACCCAGCTATGGAAGTATCCAAAGTAAATAAGCCTACAAGATTGTAAACAGGGAACCAGAGACATCAGTTGACAAATGAGGACAACTATAAACCAAAAAGAGGGGAAAAATCTCTGTCATTACTGGACTTCTAGATGGTAGGGAAGTCAAGACAACTACAAGATAGAACGGACTGTTCTAAACTTGGGAAGAAAACTAGAAATCACGGGGTAACCTCAAAGAAAAATGACAAAACTTCACATCAAAAAAGAGGACCAGCATAAATATTCAGCAAATACTAAAACAATAGCAATGAAGGAAGTGATAACACAATTCATAAACAAAATGAGCTCAGCATAGAAAATCATATGGAACAAAGAAATCGGCACCATGAAAAAGCACATGACAAAGATGACAGCAGTAAATTCATATTTGCTGATAATTACATATCTGACAAGGGACTTATTGCTAAGATTTATAGCAGAAGAGTGAATGACCAAACTATGGTACATACACATAATGGAATGCTATGCAGCACTGAAGAATAATGTAGAGTCTGCAAAACACTGCATAATGCGGATGAACTTGGAGGACATTATTCTGAGTGAAATAGTCAATCACAGAAGGACAAACACAGTATTAGTTCATTGTTGTGGAGAGTGAAGGAAAGGTTTATGTATGGAGGGAAACTTTCTTTGTTGGTTGCCAGGGGTGGGAGGGGAGGGGAGGAAACACTGCAAAAAAAAAATTCATTGACCCATGTCACTTTAGTTTTGTGTATTTCACTGTACATAAATTATATTTCGATAAAATGCATTTAAAAGAAAACAAAAACGGTGGCTAGGGTTAGATGTAAAACCTGCGAAAGAGGCTAAAAGTAGGAAACCAAAATGATGGAAAGCAGCAGAATATATTGTCATATTAGCTAGAGGAGGAAAGAATGATCAACAGTGCCTAATACTTTAGAGACACCATGTTAGACAATGACTGAAAAGTTATACGATAAATTAAAGAGTCTAAGCTTAGACACAGCAATGAAACTAAGTTGTTTGATTCACTCATTAGATGTGCCCATGATCATAGTTTGGAGAGAAACAATTAAGAAAAGAGGGAGGAGGTGTTTCCTTTCTGCCTCAGAAATGAAGTCTCTGGGTGGTACAAATGGTTAACTCACTCAGGCTGCTAATCCAAAGGTTGGAAGTTCAGGTCCACCCAGAGGCTCCTTGGAAAACAGACCTGGTGATCTACTTCTGAAAAATCAGCCATTGAAAACCCTATGGAGCACAGTACTACTTTGGCACATGTGGGAATCACCATGAATGAGAGTTGACTCAACAGCAACTGGGGGTTTTTGGCTTAGAAACTTAGAATGATGACCAGTTAGATCAGGCAGGTGCTGGAGATGCCCCCAAAGAGTCCACTTACCCTCCCTCTGGTATTCTCAGGTCAAGGACTGATCTCTAGTAAAAAATATCCTATGAGTTCCGTTTTTAATCATTCAAACTTTCCGATTCCCAACATGGCCCCTGTCTTACCCCTACTTCTGCTGGAAAAGGGAGCTTTGGTGGCGTAGTGCCTATGGCATTTGACTGCTAACCAGAAGGCTGACGGTTCAAACCCACCAGCTACTTCTTGGAAGAAAGGTTGGGCAATCTACTTCCCGTAGTGATACTGCCTTGGAAACCCAAAGGGGGGTGGGTAACTAGGAGTCAGATCCGACTCAATGGCAGTGGGTTTGGTTTTGGGTTTGGTTTGTGCTGGAGAAATCTCAGGGCACCCATATTTTGTTCTTCTCGAATGCTTAGAATCCCAGTGTATCAGAGTTTGAATTGATCATGGACCTTAAACCAAACAAAGCAGACTCACTACCATCCAGTTGATTTGACTCATAGCGACCCCTCCTTGGGTTTCTGAGGCAGTATCTCTACAAAAGTAGATTGCCCAATCTTCCTTCCAAGGAGTGGCTGGTGGGTTTGAACCACCAGCCTTCTGGTTAGCAGTCAAATGCCTTAGGCACTATGCCACCAGAGTTCCTGGACCATACCTAACCCAAATCTCCACAATAGACGAGAAACTAAGGCTCAGTGGAGTTTGGCTTCTCCGAGTCCTTCTCTCCCCTCCTTTTTTTTTATCGGGAGCTATTCTGAGGACAGTAAGCATATTAGACTCATATGAACTAGACCTGTCTTCCCCAAAACAATTTTTTCCCTCCAGGCATAGTTGATGTCTGCTTTCATGTTTATTCTCATGAGTCACCATCAAAACCTATCTGTCCTGAGTTCTAGTCCCTCTTCTCTCACCAGCTGGCATAGAGATAACCAGGTAAACACAGACCTTTACACAGAATTATCGCAGAATTTGAAGACTGGCCCAGCCTCCTGCTTGGAGCCTATAGGCCACACAAGCAGCCAGGCAAAGAAACAGTGTCTGGGGCTGTCATCTCTGGTTGATCCCCCATCATACATTCTAATTCTTCAAAAAATACCTTCTACGATCATAGTTAAAATGTACTTGCACATGCAGATGTGCAGGGACTGTGCTACAAGGTTATGCATTCTCTCATTTAATCCTCGTAACAACCCATTCAAATAGGTGCTGTTCTTATACTCATTTTGTGGATGAATGGATAGGCTCAGAGAGATTATGTAACTTGTCTGTGATCACAGTTAATAAGCAGAAGAGCCAGGATTTGAACCTAGGTCTGGCTGACTGCAGTGTTCAAGTTTGTAGGCATGAATATTCTTCTTGGTTTAAGATTAAAACTTGTTTTCTCCTTTTCTTCCATGCCTTTTGCAGTCACAGGAGGAAGTCTGTGATTTGCTCCATGCTGCACCTTTCCAAAACATCTTGCCTAGGGTCTACATTAAAGGTAAGAAACCTCTAACAGCATCTGAATGAAGCCAGCCTGTATTTGAACTTTATGCTCATTCCTTAATCCCGGTAAACTCAGATCTGCATGTAGAAAGGAAGAAGGTTAAAGCTTTGGGCACCTATTACATATTCACAGAACTAAAGAACTGGAAATGACACTCCAGACCTTGTTCCTTATTCCTGCTATAACATCCTTAGTATGTTGCTGTCTAGCCTTGGTTTAAATTTCTCATGTGATAGGGAACTCACCACCCCACAGATAAACATCTCCATTGTTGGACAGAGATAATAGAAAAGATGTCCTTATAGTGAGTCTGTATCTTTTTCTAGAGCCAAGGAGAACAGTTCCGCTCCATCCAAGTTTTGGAATAAAGATGTGTCACCAGATCCTCTGAGCATTTCTCTTCCCCAACCCTTATTCCTGCAGTGTACCCTGAATCTTATTTTCTGCTTTGCTGCTTCATTTGTAGAGGGAGAGCGCCTGGAGGTCCGGATGAAACGCCTGGAAGCCAAGTATGCCCCACTTCACCTGGTCCCTCTGATAGAGCGGCTGGGAACCCCTCAGGTACAAACCTTATACCATGGATTCTGAGGACCAAAAGGTGCTTTAGAGGAAAAGCATTTGGTATAACCCTCTCATTTCAAAGTGGAGAAACTGAGGCCCAGAGAGGGGAAGAGAATATCTAGCCCCATGTGCTAGTTAAGTTTGTGTCAACTTGGGAGGGCCTGGTTGAGTGCCTGAGCAGCTGGATGTAGTATTCCCCGTGATGAGACTGGTAATCAATTTCATGGTGGAATCTACTGTGAGCAGCTGAGTAGCTGCCTTAGGGATGTGGTCTGCTTCCTGTGTATACGAAGAAGCCTTGGGCAACAGTCTCTAGCTTATGGCACACTTGAATCCTGCATGTCGCCGTGTCCTGTTGTTCAGCAGCCTGCCATGCTCTGCCGACCTTGGGACTTTTAATGGACTTGAATTAATGCCCTCCCGTGTGGTTTGGTAACATTGGGACTGTGCCTTTTTACTTGTCAACCTTGGGCTTGTCAGCCTCAGCAGCAAGCAGCCGAGTGAAAAAAAGCCTCCAGCTTCAGTGGGATGGGAGCAGGAGGCAAAGCTGAAACCCAAGGTTGAGGGGCTTTCACCCAGCCCCTGGAGCCTGGCACTTTTAACTCAGGCTTAAAGCCTCCAAATTGTAAGAACAAACTCCTGTTTGTTCAAGCATCCCATTTGTGGTATATTCCTGTCAGAGCAGCACTAGGTAACCAGAACACCCCACAAAGCCTATTAGTGGCAGAGGCAGGTCTGGGATGAGGTTTATTGACTCTCAGGACTGAATTCTTTCTTCTACACACTGTGTCATTCTTTCTGCCAAGAAGAAGGCAGTCACCTTATTCAAACAAGTATCTATTACACCCCCGCTAGGTATCAAGAATTCTGCTAAGTTATCCCTCTGGATGAAAGCTCCACATGCCCTATGCACCAAAAGTTCATTTCTGGCTATCTTTGCTAGAGAAACACTAGCATGAGATGTTGACTATAGCATGGTTTGTTAAAGCAAAAACTGGAACAACTTAAGTGTTCATCAGTAGGGGTTGACTAAAATGTGATTTTGTCATCTGTAGGAGTCCCTGGGTGGTACAAAGTGGTTGAATGCTTGGCTACTAACCAAAAGGTTGGAGGTTCAAATCCACCCAGAGACCCCTCAGAAAACAAGCCTGGTAATCAACTTCTAAAAGTCACAGCTATTGAAATCCCTTTCGTGCCCAGTTCTACTCTGGCACACATGGAGTCACCACCATGAGTCAGAGCAGCTGGTAAAAATCTAGGAACTGGGGCTATAGTCCGTAGTCTTCACTATGGACCAAAAAAAATAGGATTCAAATGCCCTCATGAATTTGCATTCTAGTGATCCTCTCTGTTCTTCTCATGGTGGCATATGAGCCAGAAGGACCCACATCCTGGGTTGAGAGCAAAAAGCAGCCTCTGCTTTCCCAAAGCATAGCAAGTATTTGGAGCACATTACTGAGCCTTATCTTCCCAAGTGTCACGCCACCTCAGCCAGGTCCTCTGCATGCCACCAACCTCCTACTGAAAGCAGTGACTAGACACTAAGTGGTGTTTGGGCTCTTTGAGTCACTGCAGAGAGAATTTGGATGCTGCATGGTAAGTACATTTTCTTCTTTAGCCTTCAGGAGCTGAACAGAAAAGATCTCCTAAAATGATTTCCTTTTAGGGAGAAATACCCCAAGCCAGTGACATGTAAATGTGTCTTCTCTACCACTGGTGTCATCCCACAAGAATCTGGCCCCTAGTGCCCAAGATTTGGCATGTGTTTCTGTTTAGATGAGTGTGAATTCCTTCCACATTCCAGCGAACACCGTTTCCTTGGGACTGATAGAAATATCAATTCATCAAATGCTCAGGATTTAATAAACAGTCCTAGATGTTCTGAGAAAAAGGAAATGCCAGTTTTATAAGTCATCTCTCAAGAAATAATCCAAAACTTACTCACTTTGTTAGCTGAAGAAAAATGTCAACTTCCAAGCTAGCTGAGTTTCAGAGGGCTCCTATACCATCTAGGTCAGTGATGGAGGATCTCTGCTGCATGTTTAAAGCCCAGAAGCTTGAACAGAATCGCACTGTTTGCATTTGGTTCCAGGACAGAGTGAGGGCATCAGGTTTGTTGCCCAGTGCTATTGTGGAAAGACATTCTGGTAGAGGTCACAAGGCAAGAGTTCTTGTCTCCTGATTTTATAGCATCATCTAGTGAAAGCCATTTAATTTCTCAGTCTTTGTTTTTCCATCTTTGAAATAGGATAATAGTGGATTTGCCTCCTTAATTGAGCTGCTTTTTTTTTAATTGTGCTAAATATATATGTAACAAAATATTTGCCATTTCAACATTTTTAGTATGTATAATGCAGTGACATTAATTACACTCATCATGTTTTATAGCTGTCACCATTATCTGTTTCCATATTTTCCCATCACCCTTAACAGAAACTCAGTGCCCCATAAGCAATGACTCCCTCTTTCTCCCTCCTTTTTACCCCTGGTAACTAATAAACTTTGGTCTCTATACACTTACTTACTCTAGATATTTCCTGTTAGTGGGTTCATATAATATTTGTCCTTTTATGACTGACTTATTTCATTCAGCATAATGTTTTCAAGGTTCCTCCCTGTTATGGCATATGTCAGGACTTCATTTCTCTTTATGGCTGAGTCATATTCCATTGTATATATATATACCACAGTTTATCCATTCATCTGTTGATGGATGTTTTTCCCATTTCCACCTTTATAAGCTGCCTTCCTTGATCCTTATGATCAACAAATGAATTAAATTAAAGAAAAAAAGGATTATATAAGGAATATTGAGATAATGTTGTTAAAAGATACTAAGGGGCTCTGGTGGCATAGTCCCTAAGGCATTTGACTGCTAACCAGAAGTCTGGCTCTTCAAACCCACCAGCTGCTCCTTGGAAGGAAGATTAGGCAATCTACTTCCATAGAGATATCGCCTCAGAAACCCAAGGAGGGATCCCCATGAGTGGCAATTGACTTGACGACTGAGTTTGGTGTATTTTTTTTAAGATACTAAATATAATAAAAATACTCCATGAAAGAATTTATTTAGACATGATTGCACAAGTATTTTCTCTAGTCCCTTGTTAATGCAGGAAAAAAATGTAGAAAAAGAGAAAAAAAAAAATCTTCTACCAAGTGGAATAGAAAAGAAATGAACACAAGTTATGTTACATACCCACACACACACAATTGTCATGCCTGATTTTGAAATAAATTCACTAGTGTCACATTCTACACTATTTGGAACTGAATTGATATATAGTGTCCACATAAGTAAAAGTAATATATTAATGCTACTTAATCTGAATAATTTTATCTTATACAGTGTTGGTCACAAGCATCATTTATGATTTAATTTTATATAAATCAATATGGAAATAGTGCATAGATGTTAGTGAAGTGATAAATAATTACACAGGCATACCTCCGAGATATTGCAGGATCAATTCCAGACCACCACAATAAAATGATTCACACGAATTGGTTTCCCAGTGACTATAAAATTTGTTTACACTATACTGAAGCCTATTGCATGTGTAATAGCATTATGAAAAAGTTTTAAATATTGTGAGAATTACCAAAATATGACACAGAGACACAAAGTGAACACACGCTGTTAGAAAAATAGCACTGATAGACTTGCTCAATGGTGAGTTGCCACAAACCTTCAATTTGTAAAAAAATGTGGTATCTGCAAAGAGCAGTAAAGCAAAGCACAATAATAGGAGATATGCCTGCATTTTCATAATTGTTAGGAGTTTATTATAAGAACATAGAGACATGAATATTTTTTATTAATTTTGGGAAAATATTCCCATTCTCCTTGGAGAAGATTCTATCAAATACTAGTTTTTCACAGTCAGATAATTATTCACATGCCTTACATCTCTAAAATGCTATAATTATACAAGATATTTTGTTGAAATGCACACATATACACACATACAAGCTCATACACTCACACACCAAACCAGAAATTGGGAGGAGGGGGTAAGTATTTGTAGCAAACAACCTACAAAGCACATTTTTTAAACATCATATTTTATTGTGTTTTAGGTGAAAGTTTATACAACAGACTTAGGAAACTTGGCAAATTTAGGTTCCTATTGAACAATTTTTATATATTGTTCTGTGCCATTGGTTACAGTTTTTACAATGAGTCCGCATTCTCATTATTTCCATTCTGTATGTTTTCTTTCCATTAATCTAGCTTCCCTGCCCCTCCTTACCTTCTCATCTCTGCTTTAGTGATAATGTTGACCATTTGTTCTCATATAGTTGTATGAAACACTTTTTCAAAGTAAAAAGAAAATGCCAGATTAATGAAAGAAAAAGGACATGAAAGCCCAATAGTTAACAGCCCAATAGTTAACAAGATGTACACGTAGACCACTCAACCCAGGATGACGCACCCACTTACTCTATAGTAATACATCCCTTAGAGCAGTAGACCACAGGGCACAGAGAACCAACATTCGAATTGAGGAAATGTAGGACAAACAGGAGTGGATAAATATGAGGGGCACAGGGGGAGTATTACTGGATAGGGAGGGGAGGAGACTGGGTTAGGGTTGGACATGGTAAATAGGGAGTGAAACTAAATGTACTCATAACGTTGAATATAGAACAAGCTCATAAAATAAAAAATAATTAAAAAAATAAAAAATGATAAAAAATAAGAAAACTCACAACATAAAAAATAGAGATACCAACAAACATAAGACAAAATGTTTAGATATACTAGAAATCAGTGGAACACAAATTGAAAGAATGAGATGTAATTTTTCATCTCTCAAGTTGGCAAAGAACTTTTCTTAATGGTATCAGTGTATTGATGAGGTTGTAGGCAATAGGAGTTATAGGTAGTGTAGTGCCTTAGGCACTTGACTGCTAACCAGAAGGTTGGTGGTTCAAACCCACCAGCCACTCCTCGGAAGGAAGATGGGGCAATCTACTTCCGTAGTGATACTGCCTTG